GAGGAAGGAATATACTAATAATACCCAGGTTGCTAATAAAACTGAATAAACTTGATTTGGACACTGAGGAAATTATGCCTGTATACACCATTACAAACACAAACCCTTGGAACAACACTAAAACCATTACTTAATTTGATAAACGCTTCAGGAAATACGAAGAACAGGATGACTTAACAGTCCTAGTTATCACTCAGGAGTTAGCCAGCTTCAGAATAAATCTGTCGACCACATTTGCCTGGTGCCTTCATGATAGCACAAAGTCTTAGTGCAATATAAAACACAGACTGTTACCCACTGCTGCACGTGTCCGCCATCTGAGCTTAAAAAAAATAATCAAAGCAGTGCTGGTGGAGAACATGCAACATGCCAGAGCAGTAGTAATATAAACCAGTTGTTCCAATGCTGTGGAAAGAGGAGGGGTACAGCATTGTTCCCCAAATCACACAGATGTTACGGTGCTCATGCACTTAAGTTTCCTGTGAAACTGAGAGCTGTTGAGAAATCTTATTTCTGTGAGAAATACAAGAAGATGGCCTTTAACGCTAGAACGAGGGTAGTGTTCAAAAACACTCAAAAATCTCTACTGTGGCCTCGATCACTAGCTAACACTTGCTGTGCCTCAGTTCCCTTATCCCTTCTAGGACCAAGCCTTTCAGAATTCAAAAAGTGTTTGGACAAGCTGTCAGGCACATGGTGGGGGTGTCCTGTACAGGGCCAGGAGTTGACCCTGTGGGTCCCTTCCAACTCAGGATACACGATGACTCCAGAAGAACTAGTACCACTTCTGGGCAACTTCTGGGGGAGGATGTTAGCAGCTCCACAGGTTCCTACTTGTGCCAGCTCGGAGCACGAAAATGGGTCAGCACTTCCGAGATCTCCTTTGCTTTGATAAGAACAGTACACGAGGTTCCGTGTTGCAGCTGCTTTCCTGACTTTCAGGCACGACCACCAGGAGGTCAGAATACATCCGAGAAGCAAGATGAGCGCATTTCCTCTCCGTCCGCCGTGCCCTCGGCCCAACACGGTCTCGGAAGCTAATGGGGGAGCCGAGCAGGAGATCAGACAGCTCGCTGCCGCCCGCCGGGGCACGGCTCGGCTCCTAGGGCTGCCGGGGGTGGTTTGAAGGAGGAGGGAAACAACAAACCAAGGAGCGGCACAGCAGGCCGGGCGGGGCGGGCTCCTGCCCCTCGCAGCGCGGAGCCGCCGCCGCGCCGACAGCGCCGGTGTGC